TTATTGGTTTTAACTGTTTGGTTGTGAACCGCCCAGAGTCCCTCCTTGTGGGGGAGTTGGGGCAGTGATATAAATTTGATTTATAAATAAATAAGAAAGGTGCATTTCCAAACTGCAGCCAGCCACTATTTAGCCACTATTTTAATTTTCTAAGTACCTTCCCTGAGTTACATATATTTTGATGACTTCATATTGATTTATTGAATAACAGAAAGAAATGTGAACTTGTTTTATGGTGCCCCATTATATAAAGTCTAAGAAAGGAGGGACTTCTTTAATTAATTAACTTTATTTTTATACTGCTACACTCCACATGGATTTGCAGTGGTGTACAATAAATAGTACAAATAGATGTGTTTGCCTTGGTGTGAGGTCCACTTCTGAGTAGTTGCCAAAGCATACACAGCTCTAATGCTGTCCATGTTTTAGGTCCTAGATTTAGTGCCCATAGCTCTTGTTAAAAGAATCATGGAACAGAAATCACACAAAACTCTGGAGAACAGATGATACTCAAAATACATAATATTATGATACTGTTGCCCAATGTACAAATTCTAGTATCATAACAAAATCAAAACTATACTGGAGATGTAATATATTGAACTCAGTAATCATGCTATTTTTATATTTCATTATAGCCTTACATACATGTGCAGAGCTGGAGCAGTCTGCACTGATGATACCTGCATTGTGTTAAAGGTAAATGGGTGAATCACATTAACAGTATTTGAAACGTTTACCTCAAAACAAATAGTGGGATGACTTTATTGCTGAAAACAGGATGTTTGGTAGAGAGTCAGAAAGTAGTTAATAAAACTATTCCTATTTGGTTTTATTAGCAACAGTATTTCAGTTGTATGCTTTGTATACCACCCTGAGTTTGTGTGGAATGTATTCTTTTCACTCTGAATTTGTGTTTGTCTTTGTTAAATACACAGATTGAGATTTTAATTAGACTTCCAGTTTTGTATTTTTCTATTTAAGTCTACTTGCTCTAGTTTATGAAGTAATATGCAGCTTAAAACACCTGTCTGAGATTTGTGACTTAAAACAGAATAAAAATGATTTCTACCAAGTAGTCTACTTTTGAACAATATAGAAACAGATACAGATAAAATTTTGGAGTTGTGAGGTGTCAGTACATGTTGATTACTGGAGAAGTGATAGGCTAGCACATTGAACAGATATAAAGTTAATTTTTCTAGATTCAAGAGAATGCCCTTTTTTTAATGACTCATTATTGTACAGAGAAAAGAAAGGTGATTGTCCTCATGGACACATGATGACAGCCATGTTTCTCTCCATACATTTCAGTAGTTCATAATTTGCTTCAGATCTTCTTTTCCCTTTTCCCAATTTTTTAACATTAGTAACAGCAGCAGCAGCTATTCTTTCCATTTGTCCCAAATAAGAGCAATATAAAGGCTGGACTTCTGGAGGAAGAAATGGCGGATTGAAGATGGCTCCGTGAAATGCGGAGACGACTACTGTGGCAGAATGAAGAGCTGGCGAGTAGACTGGCTCTTCAAAACCTCTCTGGACAAGGAGAGGACTGAGATTGCCCATCAGTGCTCCAGACAGCTGTTCCTCGCAAGGAGACTGTAAGATAGCAGTCTCCAGCGGGTTTAGAGCTCTGGGAGATGGGGGAATAGCCATCTTGCTCAAACTGTGGTTGGCACCTTTGAAAGAACTCTAAATTCACATACTTCCTTTTCTATATGGTAGTCCTTTGGGTTCAAAGAAGACATGCTGTTGTGCACAGTTCATCTGTGGATGTGGAGGTGGCTCTGCAGTTCCAGTCTGAAAGCGCAGAGTCTATCACAATGGGGGCACTGGAAGTCCATTGTTGTAGTAACAGTAGGTGTTATTCTGTGATGCCACTCATGGTTTTCTATTTAGAAATTGCTTGTTAACTATTTTCAGCTATTAGAAACCTTTGTATTGACAAGTTTAACAGCACCGGGTGAATTTCCTTCAATTCTTAGCGAAAAAAAGTTTTAACTACAAGTTTAAGAACTTTTAAAAAAACTTTTTTTGGAATAAACAGCAAAAGAGTGATTACAACTTTGATTGTAGAAAGTTACAAACAGACTAAGCATCCAGATAAATTTAAAATAAGATGTTGGAATTAATTATAAAGAATCCTTCCATTGGGAACATGTTTTTGTTTTGACTTAAAAAAAAACCAAGGTTTTAAAAATTGGACATTAGAGGGAACTAAAGATTACAATTAAAAGAGAGGAACACATTAACTCACGTTACAGAATGAAGCAAAATATTCTAACATTGGCTATATTGAAGGATATTTTTGAAAAATGGACTCAGAAGTTAATAGTATCAACGGAGACATCTGCCTCTATGGAGAGACTGTCTAAAAGATATTATGGAAGAAGAACAAGTTTTACCTGACAAGATTGCGACTGAGTTGAAAGTGGATTTACAAATGACAGGTTACAAGAATGACATGGAAAAAGATGTTACACTGGACATAACAAAGAAACTAGCTGATATTTTAATAATTAAAAGGGATATATAAACAATAAACCAAGAGAGTGACCTGGATAATTTTCCTACATTGGATTTATAAAAGAGGCTTGTTAAAGTTTTGAAGAATCTTGTGAGAAGGGACAAAGAAAAAACAAAAAGAAATAAAGTTCTATGACATTATTTGAATGGACTACAGATTAAGATTGTTAGAAGTAAAAGGAAGGAATATAAAGTTGGTTTATTTGATCAAGGTTAAAATAGATATGTTGTCATTTCTGGTAATCCTTAAAGGACTTTTACTGACACCAGGACTGAAATGGTGATGCTTTTTGTTTATAGATAGATAGGAGATGGGATATGGGAAGACGAGATAATTTGTTGTATTTTAAGAGGAGGTGATAAGTTACTAAGATAGTTTATACTTGTTACCAAAGTGGGAAGTCACTTCTTTATATATTTCTTTTCTTTTTCTTTACAATATTTTCTTTTCTGTTTCTCTTTCTATTTTTCCTCTTTTCTTTCTTTTCTGTACCTTTTACTCTTTCTTTTTATTCTTCCTTTTTTTTTTTAGTTTGTATTAGTTTTTACTGTTATAATCTTTAATAAAATTACTATAAAAAAACAATATAAAAGCTGCTAAAGATTTGGTGTTGATTTCTCAGGGGAATTGTGTTGTGAATTTTACATTATTCTTGGGTGGGTATAGATCAGATAATTTTTTCTAGGGAAATGAACCCAGCAATTCTTCTGTTTCTTGAGATTCATGTTTTTTTCTTGTTTGTGGTGGTGTATATGTAACTCTAGGCATTGGACCTTTCTTAAAACTTAATTATGAAAAGAAATTCCTTAGGTCCACGTACAAGGATTTATTCTTATCACATCTGATCTGGTTCATTTTACCCCACCAAAGCCACTGAATAACAAATGAACTGCATTACAGTCCAAATTGCCAGCCCTTGTGATTGTGGAATTATTGGCCAGAATTATTTCTGTTTTTGAAAATAGTTGGTGTTCAGTAATACTAAATTATTCTGCCTTAAATCATGAAGTTATACAAACCTAATAAATCTTGTTAAATGGAACTTGTACTCATGGCTTAATAATGTTCTATGCAAATTTCTTAGTTGCATATAATAGCTTTGGATTTGTGATCATATAGCAACAATATCAATGGTTGCTTTAAATTTTACTTTTGTACAAATATCTAAGTAGATTTGAGGACATATTTGGTTAGGAAATGACTTTTAAAAGACCTATTTTTAGTGACAAATCTAACAGAATTTATATAATAAATTTGTAAATAACTAGTCAAAAAACTAATTTCAGATTTTGTAATTTCCAGACATTACCATGTTTGGCACGGATGTGTAGTAAAGAGAGACTACTAGAGGAGAGAGTAGATGGAGCAGAAACTCTGGCCTATTTGATTGAAGCAGATATTGAACTACAAAGAATTGCCAGTATTACTGACCACCTTATTGCAATGCTTGCAGACTACTTCAAATACCCCAGCTCAGTGAGTGCTATCACTGATATAAAAAGGGTAGGTTTATTATGAATTAATTATTTACCACAAGTGTGTGTGTGCGTGTGTGTGTGTGTGAGAGAAAGAAAGAAATGAGAACTTGGATTAACATATTTACTGCATATCTATATGGTTCTAGAATCATTGTTTGTAGACCCAGATGAAAGTCTGACACAATCTTCAGCAGAGAGAGTATATGAATTAGCTTTCTAGTTAGGCATGCAATTCCTTTGCTCCTGACTTTGTATGTGTGCAAAAACAAAATTCAGAAATCCTGTTTCTCATTTGATAATAACTAGATGGGTTTGTAATAAGCTATAATACATAGATATTTTTAAAATCGTCTTAGCATCCTAAATTGTTCCAAGCAATTAACATCATTGCTACAGTTTCTTGTATTTGATTCTGCCTGAGGTGGGATTGAAATTCTGTATATGAGAGATAAGCTAAGAGATATCAGTTTTTGTCAACAATCAACAACTGCTCAGCTTCAAGGCAGTGAAGTGCAGGGCAAAGAGTGAAATATGGGAAAGACAACCAGTTTAAACTGACTTGGGTATAAGGGGGAGCTACATTCTCAAACTAATAGAGGATAATCAAATGTATAATATGGCTTCAGTCAAGTCTGTAATAACAATTCTTCATACCATAATAAGTCTGAGAGATTTTTGATAACTTTGAATCTAGCAGCCTAGGCAAGCTCTGTAGTAGTCAGAAATTGGAGATTTGCAGCTTAACCTTGGCTGAGGAAATCTGCCACAGTGTAAATATTCCCATTATTAATATTTCAGCCCATTTGGCCTATATAATCCAAGATTGTTTAATGCATTTATTTTTAATAGTGGATTAAACATTGCAGGTAATATTCTGGTTTAACCTTGAATAGGATACAAATTTACAAAGCAAGGTGTTAATTTAGAGGTAGGGAACTTTTTTGAGCACTCTCCCAAATGGCTTCCAACTCTCTTCACAAATGGTTTATATGCATTTAAACTTAACCAACTTTTGATATAGCTATAATGCTGAGAACACCTATCTCAATATCATATCAAGCACTTTAGATTATACTTATTAAGTACAGCTAACCAAACTGTTCTAGGGATTGACTGCTGTTTATATATAAGATATCATATGATTCCTTCGTGTTTTGAGCAGTCATCATCTTTGTTTTTGTCTTGGTTCATCTAGTGTCCTCTCCTATTCAAGTTCTAACTTTGAGTCAGCTAAGGTTGGCTGGTTGTGAAAGTGGGCTTGGCCCTGATTAGTACTTAGACAGAATACCACTAGAAAATCCCAGGGTATAGGCTAAACAGGAAAGTTGAAAAAAAGTCTGGGAAAAAGGCATCAGCAAACAGTTTCTATGTTGTTTCAGGAAAACTATATGGATGCATCAGGATTTGAGCTCAGTTTAAGGGAATTGTTAGGATTTATGAGATTTAAATTGTTAATAGTTGAAGAGAGCAGAAATGATATTCTATCTGATGTCCTGTCCCAGGCCAGGCACACACAAGCACATGGAGAGGTAGTTGCAACCTTTACTAAATAGTTTTTGCAAAGTAAATAAACGAGCTGCAAGAAAAATGCAAGTGCAAACACACATGCGCATGCAGTAGAGAAATAAGTCCCCCAAGTTTGCAAGCTTGCCTTAAAAGAGTTCCAATCCAAACTATTGGGCAAAAGAATGGTCAGGAAAAGTCCAAGGGTCAAAACTTTGTAGAAAGCTTGTCATCTGGCCTGGTTCCAGAGTCCAGGTTGTGAGGTTCACAGGTCAGGAGTCAAGGCACATGGAGTAGGAGTTAACAGCCAGTTGTTGTCAATGTAGAGGCTTGAGCTCGGTGCTCTTCTTAAATAGGAACAGCCTTGGTGTTACTCATTTAGAAGGACAAGCTCCTTCCTTGCAAGAAGCCTTGCAGAGTGCCTTTGCTCTACTCTCCTTTCCGCACTGCGAGCCCTTGTGCTGGGAAGGGGTGGCAGGTGAGCCTCTTCATCTTTGGAGACTGGCGACCACTGGGCCTGCTGGTTACCAGAAAGCCCCACCTCCTCTGCCTGCAGCTGCTCAAACAGCAGTTCATCCGTAACTCTGCAGCTGGCTGCTCATTGTTGATCTCCTCCTCTGAATCTGAGCTCACCATGACACCTGAGGACAGGCACAGAAAAAAGTGCCAGTTGAAAATTCTTAAAAGTGCTTCCTAATGTAAACACTTCAAGACTCAGCTGGCACAAATTAACTCATTTGAGTGATAGTTGTGAAATATGTCTTAAAAACTTTGCAGTGTATTTTTATTTAAGTCACTCCCTATTCAGAACTCAGAATATATACAATTTGATCAACATGCATGGGTTTGCCATTTAAAAAATAATATGAATTTAATTATTTTTAATAGCTTGACCATGACTTAAAGCATGCTCATGAATTGCGCCAGGCTGCATTCAAGCTCTATGCTGCACTTGGAGCAAATGATGAAGATATTCGAAAGAAGGTAAGGCTGAGAATTTATCAGTTAGTGTGATGGAAGGCATGAGTGGGGAGAATTCTGGAATGGAGCTTCAAGGTTACAGGGAAGGGGGAGAGACATTCCAAGGAAAGCATCTCCTCAGCCCCCAGCTGGACTGTGTGAAAGTCAAGAGAAAGAGGCTGGCCCCTCCCTAAGGGCATGATGGTTATAGTTGCTGTCGTTGGGGGATTAGAGTTAGTCTTGCAAGATTCTGTCTCTTAGGTGCAAGCTAATAAAGAAGCTGAGCTGATTTCTGGACTGTCTCATGTGGTTCTTGGGCTGAATCTGACAGTTTCCAATACCTCAAAGCCAGGAAGGAACTTTCAGAATTTTGAAATGATAAAGGTGTTATCTCTTAGTAGTACAGGTAGTCCTCGCTTACTGATCATTCGTTCAGTGACTGTTCAAAGTTACGACAGTGCTGAAAAAGGAAACTTATGACAGGTCCTTGAAGTTCCAGCCATTGCAGTACTCCTGCAATCACATAATTGTGATCTGGGCACTTGGCAACCAGCTCACACTTACAATGGTTGCAGTGTCCCATGGTCACATGATTGCCATTTGTTACCTTCCCTGCTGGCTCCCCACAAGCAAAGTCAATGGGGAATCTGACAGGGAAGGTCACAAGTCACTCTGGTAAGTCACTCGTACCCTCCCCCACCTGGTAGCAGCCACCCCCGGGCCTGCTGCGCTCGCATCACACTTTACCTGCCTGCCAGCCTGTTTGCGAGCCACCTGGGATTCACTTATCGATCACATTTTACGACCGCATCGCTTGGTGACAGAAATTCCAGTCCCAATTACCATAGTTAACTGAGCACTACCTGTAAAATTTTCCCCTTCAGCCTCAAACACTATGTACCTTCCTGTCCAGAGTCTTGGAATTATGAGAAATAGATCAGTGATTTTTCCTGCCTTGATTGAGTTCACGTCTTACAGAATTTGCTTCCCTTTCTTGGTTGTTCAGACTTCTGATATGCTAACTTTTTAGATAATTAGATTAGTTTTTGTTTAAATCTCTGCATATTAAACTAGGTATAAGAGTAGATGTTTCAGTAGTTTAATATGCAGATATTTAAAGCTGTTATTTTTAGCAACTAACTAGCAGTTTTGATGTTACTAGCTTGCCAAGGGAACTTTCCAAAAGTTAGTTAGTTTCTCTGGACAGTGAAACAATATCCTGCAAGTAACTTCACTATCACATTCAATTATGGAGTAAAACTGCTGTTTCTGCTCTTGCACAAGTTGTATAAAAGGGAATTACAGCAATCCATGAAGATATAGAAAATAAGTTAAAAGTTAGTTTATATAGTCTTGTGACTGAAGTGTATGCTTTGCTTATGACTAGTTTCAATAAAATATGTTTTGTGACGAAGTAAGATATATGGATAAAGTGTTGCAGGTTCCTAGTTAAAAAATATAGGGCTTAATTGAACTGCAAAAAATTAAATAACTTTGAGAATGCCCCTTAATAGGCACTGTCATTTTTGTACAGGGAAACCTAATGCTGGGTTTTACTTTTAATATATAAATATGCTTCATTGTCATAATATCACATAGACATGAAATTTCTTTTTAAAATTTGAAATTTAAATTTAACATTTTGACCAGCTAATATTTGTACATATGCATATACAATATGTACATTACAATATGGCATTAAAATAAACATACCAAATGTTCTGTTTTGTTCTGTAAAATCAATTCTTCCAATAACTTGTTTGATAACTTTTTATTTCAGATAATTGAAACTGAAAATATGATGGATCGGATTGTAAATGGATTATCTGAGTCTAGCATCAAAGTGCGCTTAGCTGCAGTCAGGTATAAATTTACCTAGTGGGATTAATCTTACATTTGGTGTGTTTAGTCTGACAATTGTTCATTTCCTTTATTAGGACATACAGTGATCTTAAATTATTTGAAAATTATGAATTATCTTTAGCAGTAATTGTAGTATGATATAACAGTCTGAATTCTCAGTTCTTAGCTGAGTTTCTCAGAATGCTTAGATGCAAAGCTAATTCTAAGGAAAGGAAGTATTTTGCAGCTTATACCTCATTTTTCTGAGCAGATGTTTGCACAGTTTGTCAAGATCCGTACAGCAACTACGAACAAGTTTCCAAGATCATGCTGTATGGAAACCCTTAATGAAGGTAAGCACATTGGGAGATTGATTGTTCTGATATAAATGACAGTGACAATATTATAGTACAGTTTCAAGGCTAGTTAAAGAAAAGATATCTCTGTATCTAAAAATATATCTCTAGTGATTTAGCTGTTCATTTCAATTCACCTAAAATGTGATCTTCCTAAGATCTAGGAATAATTCAGTATAATGTATTGGAATAAAAGGGTGGTGTTAGATATAAAATGGTTTTAAAATAATGTGTAGTCGGTTTATACTTTTAATTAAGAATTACTGTTTCAGCTTAGGTTCTTTTAACTGTTGATGACAACAGAATGTTTATCTTGATAAATATGATTTTTTTAAAAAAGCAATTGTCCTGCCCTTACATTTATGAAGCTGGGATCCATTGATATTTTGAAGTAGATGTTTTTAAAGGTCAGTGCCATTGGGGTTCATAGTCAGGAAAATACTTCACTACTACAAAATGTTTAAAGTGCTACTCTGTAAAGGTGTTTCAGATGGTAACTGCTTTTTTAAAACTCTGGTGATTTTTCCAGTTGCAATCCTTATGGTGAATTAACTACTCATTTATTTCTAAACCACTAAGAAAACACAAGAATTGTTTGCAGTGTTCTCTAAAACTTTATGGAAAATAATTTTTCATTATATTTTTTCACTGGCAAAGATGGAATAATAACTCATAAGGCTTGAGTAATTTCCACCTAGATTAGATGTTATCTTCTGTTATGTGAAAGGGAGTATTGTGTCATTAGGCATTTTAAAGAAGGAAGACATGTTTCCTCTTTCTCTTTCCCTGGCTAAGTATAGGCAACTGAGATGTCAGTTAGGACTCTGTTTTGAAATTGGAAAAGAATCAACTGCAAAAAATAGATATTGGTACTATTTAATTTCTAAATAGTAATAAAGGAAGCTAGGGTCCAGGTTCTGCATCTACACAGGTAGCAAGGGAAGTTTATTTAGTTATCTGATATATGTAGCAGTCCCTGAATTATTCTAAATTCTGGGGGGGGAAAGCTTTCTTATGATGAAACTATTTTTTCTCTCTCAGGTATTACAGAATGCTCCAGATGAAATTTTAGTGGTAGCATCTTCTACTCTATGCAATCTTCTCTTAGAATTTTCTCCAAGCAAAGAGGTTGGTTGATTGGGCTTTTTTAACCACAGAAGTAGATTTCTGATTCTTGGTATAAAATGTAATGTGAATATGCACTGAGATGATGAGGATGAAGTCCTGTCTCTGGTCTTTCTCAGCAGTCTGATTTTAGAACTATAAGAGCAGTTTTTCTTTCAAAATATGCAAAATGTTACTTTGAGTAAAGAAATCATACTGTTAGTGTTCACTAAGTAGTAGCCATTAAGGCTGTACTCTAGTTTCTGCTGTTCTGCTTCATCTGCACTTATATTTCATCCAAATATGCATGTATCAGTAGCTGTGATGGCTGTTGAGAGTGCTTAGATATTAGCACCTAGAATAGCTTGTGCTATTCTAGATTTTTAAAAGGAAAACTATCTGGGTCAGTAGATATACTTTCCCCAGCGGATTCTGGAATCCAGCTGGATCTGTAAATCTCCATACAGTTGAAGCTCCTCCACTGTTTATATGAAATACTAAGGGAAAAGCTACTGAGGAAAAATTAAATCCTATACTAATCAAGTATACTGTTTAAAAAAACACACACAATAATTTGTCTCTTTGCCTATATTAACATATTATAGTCATGTAATAAATTATCTTTCTGAAACTATGAAAGACGAATTTTTTGTCAAAAAGATTGTTCAAGTTTTATAAAGAGTGATCTGTTGATCATTTGCAACTATGGGATGGGACAGTTAACAGCAGTTTTGGGTAGGAGAAGCAGATGGAACATTCTGGAAAATCAAAAGGTTGGGTGAAATACTTACAGCACTTGGACTGAGTATTCTACACTGAGCTTATAAAAATGTAAAATATGTAAAGAAAGAAGATACCATGTAAGCTTGGAGGTGTATCCTAGACTATTTATAAATCTTTTTTTCCAAAAAGTCTTGTTTTAAGAGCAAATTTAAAATGCTAAAACAAAATAAAAGTAGAGTTATAAAATCTTAATTACATATAATTAAAAAAAACCCTAAGCGAATAATGCAACCACATTGGAAAAGCAAAACATTAAACCACAAGATAATATGAACCTAATCTACACATAGGAGAAAAAAAGAAAAAAATGAAAGAGCTGGCACAAAATATTTCCCTGAAAAGCCAAAGTTGGCCGATAAAAATATTCATTGGAAAATATTTATACATTGGAATTTAAGTCTTCCTTAGGGACAACATTAAACTACTTGTAATTGTTTTTATGTATTCTTTTTAATTGTTGTACATTGCCCAGGGTCATTTTATGTGAGATGGGCGGCTCTATAAATACGATAAATAAATTAAATAAATAAAAATAAAACTCTTGTTACCATAACCAAAAAAGTTTCTTATTAGGTGCATCTGTATTTCAACCAGTGGGAAAATCCAGTAGAGAGCTGTGTTTTATTTAAGTTGTTTCTACATATATATAGTTACTTGATAGCCAAATCTATCCTGAGGCACTAGTATACATATCTGTTGACAAATGAAATATTTAATGTATTGTGTCTCAGACTTGTCATCTATGCATTAGAATCCAGTTCAAATGATAAAGTAGTAAGTAGTTTAAAATATTTTTGTAAATATGTGAAATTGGGATATTGCTGAAATTTCTCAACTGGTTTTGTTTTTGTTATACATAGCCTATCTTAGAATCAGGAGCCATAGAACTTCTCTGTAGTTTAACTCAGAGTGACAATCTTGCCTTGCGAGTGAATGGAGTTTGGGCTTTAATGGTATGTATTAATGTTAATTTTTATGCATTTAATGTTAATCTTTATCACCTATTTTTCCCAAAACAGCGTTGCAAAAACATTGCAAGTATATAATAAAATTTTAGATTTTATTTATTTATTAAATTCAAATGCCGTCAAATCATCTGAGCTCTAGAATGCTTTCAAGGATGGGAAGCAAAAACGAACGAACAAACAAACTTTACTGCTAAGAAATTTTCCTTGTATACAGCAGATGGAACTGGGTCCTTTGTGGAAAATGTTGAGATAATTCTGAATAAGGTTAATTTGATCTGTCTTTTTAGAATATGGCATTTCAAGCAGAACAGAAAATCAAAGCAGACATTTTACGAGGCTTGAGTACAGAGCAATTATTCCAGTTACTCTCTGATTCTGATGTAAATGTACTAATGAAGACCTTGGGATTACTTAGGAATCTTTTGTCTACTCGCCCTGTAAGTATTGATGAATTGATACTTTGAGAATGAATGTGCAGATCTTGTAAATTGCGATGCTCATATTATTACATATTGGGAGCTGGTGCCCCAGAACTTTGTATCATCTTTACTTGAGCTGTTACTTGCCTGATTTACAGAACAGACATTCTGTAGAAATGACAAAACAGAGTTCTTTCTGAACTCTTGCTACTACAAATTGTAAGCTTTGGGACTTGAGAGCTCTCCATCTGAAAACCAGAACATCTTTCACATTGTATAGAGCATGTTGCAGATCAAGGAGTAATACAACAGTGTTTGCTTTTAAAGGAAAACGAATCTAAATGCATTGTTCAGTATTTGTGATAGGAACAGGCCCATCATACTATTTACATATGGCCCTGATGCATTTGGCTAGAGCCACCTTCACCTATCATTTCTGTCTTGCTGTCTTATACATATACCTGATTTGCTTCCATGAGAGAAAGACTTGGCAGGGCTTATTTCCTGCTATAAGAATTCTATAAAGCAAACTGAATTTCCTAACTTTTCAGGTGAGCTATTTGTTAATGTTATATTTGAAACTCTTGGCAGCATATAGATCAGATAATAAGTACTCATGGGAAACAGATCATGCAAGCAGTGACTCTCATCCTGGAAGGAGAGCACAACGTAGAAGTCAAAGAACAGGTATTGTGCATTGTTGTATTAATGATACATATCTGACAGTTTAGACAGGAAGGACTGTACTTTGTGTTGAACGAACAAAACAGAAACAAGGCGCTGAACTCTAAATTCTGCAGGAGGCAAATTCAAATTCTTTTTCTAAGAAAATGTGCATAAGGATGCTTGCATGCACTATTTCTTGTGCAAGTTCTTATCTGAGTTCTGAAGAAATGCAAACCATATGCTACTTGTTTCCTTTTAGCCAAGCAGAACTTCTATATGTGATGCCCAAACTTATTCAAATGTTTAGATACCTTGGGCTTGTGCAATTAATTAGACATATGGGTTTCCTGAGTGAAAGGCAAGCTCCTCTGATATCTATGTGTCTATGCTGGTCTAGAACCATAATAAAATATTTGATTTGATACCTATGTGTGCAAAAGGGAGAAAAAGCCATTTTGCTGTCACCTTTGACCGAGAATCTACTGTAGGCGCCTGTAGGGTGTGGGGTCCCAAAGGTCTAGAGACGTGATATCATCTCCACTGTCCCTTTATTTTCAGGGTAAGGAGTCAGGGTGGTATGATGAGGGGGAAAAACACTTCCACCAGTGAATTATTTACAGGATTTTACTTTTTCTGTCTTTTCTGTTTGGATGGGGAAACAGTTTTATGCAGAGTATTAAATGAGTACTGTTTTAAATAAAAATCTTTTTTTTTTCCTCAAAATTTCATGCTGTTTTTCTACACATAGGCTGAGGTTTCATGAATTTATATTCATGATATTTCTGCAACTTCTCTTCCTGAAGGGGTGATTTACAGGTAGTCCTCGGCTTACTTCTATTTGTTCAGGAACCATTCAAAGTTATGGTGGCACTGAAAAAATGGGCGTATGACCGGTCCCCAAGGTTCTGGCCATTAAGGCACTCCCATGGTCACGTGATCATGATCTGGGCACTCGGGTGCCCGGCTTGTGATTATAACGTTACAGGGAGCCAAGGTCATGTGATCACCCTTTGCAGCCTTCCCTGCCAGCATCCCACAAGCAAAATCAATGGGGAAGCTGGCAGGGAAGGTTGCAAGTTGCTGTGGTAAGTCGTGACCACCCACAGCACACACATACCACCTGTGCACTCCCCCAACTCACATGCATTCTGCACTAGGCCTCTTAAGCCTTCCCCTGGCCTCCCCCACCCATCCCCACTGCACCCTCGTACTCCTTACCTGGGACTCCCACAACTCCTGTTTAACAACCCACGTGTCTTCAGGTTACAACAGCAATTGGTATCAGGATTACTGTTGCTAAGCAATGCAGTCATAAAGCATGATGTCATGTGATTGCATTGCTTAGTGACAGCAATCCTGGAAGTCCTGGTTGCCATTGTAACCTGAAGATTATCTGTATAATCGTTGTAATTTCTGCCTGAATAAAGGTCTTCATAGTTTTATCCTCTTACCCTGTATTGCTTATAAGCAAGACAGTGAGATGTTTGTTTGAAAACAAGCAGTCTCTGCCATTTTGGGAACATAGTCACTTTGGGAACATGTCATAACCATCTACTTGTCAAGCTGCCATGAAACATTGCTACTCAGAGTTATTATCATATATTTCTATTCCTCCTTTTTTCCAGACATTATGTATACTCGCCAACATAGCAGATGGAACAACAGCTAAAGAATTCATTATGACAAATGATGATATCTTACAAAAAATAAAGTATTACATGGTATGTAATTTAATCTAGAGTTTTTCTGTAATTAAATTTTGGGAAGAGATTACAGCCCAGTGGTGTCCTTTGTGTTATGTATGGAGTAATGTACATTTACTATCCCTGATATTTCCAGTAAAAGAGTCTTTAGTAATAGTAGTTTTATCTAAGAACATAGAGCAGATATATAGAACATATGTCCTCCAAGACAGATTTGGCCTGTAGTAAAGATAGTTTCATGTGCTTAATATTAATAACTGTTTGTTGCTCTAATTTTCTAGGATACAAGATATATCCCTTCTCCTTTTCTAATTTTTTTTCAACTTCTGTCTCATTGAAAAAAGCATGTGAATCTTATATCTCATTATTTAGGGGTAATAATTTTGAGGCAAGAAACATGGATTTCATAGTGGTTAAGAAAGAAATGTAAAGTTTCATCTGAGTCAAACTTGGTTCTTGACAGTTTTCTTGGCAACATATGGAAATGTTTTGCTATTAACTTCTGCCAGAATATGTTTGTTTGTTTGTTTTTTCACAGTCAAGGCTGTAGCTTCCCTTCCAAATATTAATTAGATCAGCCAGGGTAATAAAGAAAGCAATAGTAAACCACGTCCATATTTTTGCCAATAATACTACATGGTTCTGTGAAGTCAAAAGGAGTCAAGCCCAAAGGAGATTTGATTTTACTAAGAAATGCTCTAAAATATGTGTGTTTAATTTTTTTTTTTTTTTTTGTCCACATAGAGCCACTCAAATGCTAAACTTCAACTGGCTGCCATGTTTTGTGTATCTAATCTTATATGGAATGAAGAAGAGGGTAAGAAAATATACTTAAGGGATTTCTCTTTTGAAACTCTTAATTTTAAGATGAAATTGCATTTAGCAGTTGAGCATATGAAATACATTTTTATCTTGGATGAGGGAATCACTACATTACAAGGCAGGTGAAATGAACAGCCTATATGATTCCCTTTGATTGAAAAGGAAGTTACCTGGAAAAAAATGAAAAGAGCAATTTCCAGTGGGTGAAAGTTGAATAGGTAAACTTTTTTTGTCAGGAGCTGGAATAGGAGAAGACAAATTCATGGCCTTGGGCAGACCAAAAAAAAAAAAAATGGAGTAGCCATATATGCGGAAAACGTACAATGGTCATTAGAAATACAAATTAAGGATGAGAAAGGTTGATTCATAATGCTATACTTTTAGGCTGAATTTGGAAATGTAACAGTTGCCTCAATTTATGCTCCAAATGATAAAACAAAGCAAAATTTTATAATTTTCCCCCCAACTTCTTGAAATTGCAGAGGGAGATACTTTAATACCTTGGGATATGAATAGGGTTTTATCCCCTCTTCTCGACAAATTGACTTTATCAAAAGGAAATGCTAGTAAACTCCCCCAAAACATTTTAGATTATATGACATTGCCATTTCCCTCATATGCTTGGAGATATAAATACCTACAGGGAGAGAATATACTTACTATTCTGTAGTCCACAAATATGTTCTAGAATAGACTTGCATTGGACTTCTGATTGTTGACTTATTGTTATTTTTATTATTATTGTTATTAATCAAATTTATACACCACCCATCTCACTGTATAAGTGACTCTAGGCAGCTTACCAGTAAATCTCGATGTAGAGCTGGCAGCTTCAACATATGCAGATCATAATCCAGTGATTATAAGGACTGTTACTATTATAAGTAAATTAAATTTCATTTAATTGAAGTGCTATCAGGAATTAAAGAGTTTCTTCCAAACTAATTTAACTTCTAGAACTTCCTTAGTTACAGTATGGGAAGCTTCTAAAGCATTTATGAGAGGTTCATTTCTCTCTCCCACATCAAACAGAAAGAAAGCCATGCAAAAGCAGAAAGACATATTATTAAATGATCTTAAACAGTTAGAAATAAGTCATAAATTTAATCCAATTTTGGACTTAGAGCAAAAGTTAAAAGCAATATAGAAATGATTTATTTAAAATAAATGAAATTTATAAAGAATTGGAACTTTACTAGACAAAAATACTTTGAAAGGGGCAGTAAACCAGCCACATTGTTAGTTTTACCAATTATAAAAGAAACAGAACCAAAGAATTATTACTTCTATTTAAGATGGAACTAAATATGTTTCTCCAATGAATGATATGATGCTGCAATTGTTAATTAGTATATAAAATTATATAACAAACAGGAATATGACCCCCAAAAATGGAAGAATAATTGAATGGAGTACTACTTTAAAAATTTACAGACCAGTAAAAAGAGGTTTTCAATTAACCTATAACAGAAGATATAACTGAAGAAGCAATTAAAAAAAATGAAATTGAATAAAGCTCCAGGAACTGATGGTATTTCTGCAGTTTATTACAATTTTTTTCAAGAAATTTTGACTAAATCCTTAACTCAAGTAATAAACAAGTTTCAGCCACATGAAGAAGCTTTTATTTCTTTGATCTATAAAGTAGGGAAAGATTCAGCTTATCCTGAATAATACAGACCTATTTTTCTATTGAATGTGTATTAGAAGCTTTTTACGGCAATTCTTGATACGAGACAACATGGCTTTCTAACTGATGTTATGTACCCTCATCAGATGATCTATGTTCCAAAGAGATAAATAAAAATAATATCATTCATATCTTAAATGTTATTGACAAGATCAGAAAAACAAAAAAATGGCCATGGTTTTTCTTGGTGCTGAAAAAGCCTTTGACAATTTGGAATGGCCTATGTTTACAGTTCTGAGGAAAATGAGTTGTGGTCCTATTTTTTTTTTCACATGGATACAGAGTATTTATACAGAACAGAAAGCCAGAATTGTAGTGAATAGGGTTTTTTTTCACAGCAGTGTACTATATTAAAGTGGACAAGAACAAGGTATCCCCTTTCCCACTCTTTATTTTTATTAGCATTAGAACTACAGGCAATTCAAATAGAAAATAGAATTTTAGGAGTTAAATTAACTACACAAGAACATAAATTATCTATTTCTTATATTGTTCCAAAAGTATATAAAATGGAGAAGACATGGGCAGAGTGAGGAAGACAAGATATTGAGTTGGGTCATACTTTGCCTCTTCTTTTGACTCCAGTAAAAAAAGATAATTATTCAGTAGAAATAAAATTATTTTTAAAATTATAACATAATACCAATAATACTAAATTAATAAACTGTTAAATAAAAGAATAGAAAAGAAGCTATACTGTAAATTAGAATGGCAATGATTATTAGTAAGATAAGAATATAACTTCTTTTCTTGCTATTCCAGTTAAACTACCATAAAAGTAATAGAAAGTAGATTACTGGTCAATAGATCCACCAAATTTGATTTATGAATTGCTGAAGAATGTGTGGGTTTTTTCTTTCATTTCCAAGGTAATAGACAATGTATCAGATCTTCTCTTTGATTAAAACCAAAGATAAATGGGCCATTGCAGGAAAAGGGAGAATCAGCTCTTTGATGTCTGTTCCCTGTTTAAGTTCATCCACTTATCTATACCCACAATATCATATTGTTGAGTATCTTGGCCTCAGGCTGCTGTTAGTGAATGCCAGGTCTGTTTGTAATAAGATTGTGATCCTTCACTACTTGATTGTGTAGAAAAAAGCAGAGCTGGTATGTGTGACCAAGACCTGGCAAGGTAAGGAAGGGTTATCTGAAATCTACCCGTGTGAGTTTCAGGTGTTTCAGCAGGCTTTTGCACTGTATTGTATACTGCCTTGCCACTATTTAATCTGTCTTGGCAAAGGATATAAAATACATCACTTATCAATATGCAATTATTTTATATTAGGTTCCCAAGATCGTCAGGATAAACTCAGAGATATTGGAATAGTAGATATTCTACATAAACTGAGTCAGTCATCAGATCCAAATCTTTGTGAAAAGTAAGTATACAAAAATTCCAAAACCAAATTGAAATAAATTTGGTCACTTTGTAATTAGATTTTCTGTATACTGATTTGATGGTACAGAGCTGTATATGAATTCTATTTCTCATTGCATTTTGTGTTTTTTTTCCCTCTGCAAACCAGAATTGTCTCTAGTTTTTTAGGATGGCTTAGTCATTGTGTCAATGTATGAAATCTTCTGTGCTTGATTTGTTTTTGCATGCATGCATGCAATTTCTATGGCCTCCATCCCACCACAGTGATTTTGGATGGCTAGCAGAAGGTTAATACATAACTTAACAAATAGCAGCCAAGGTAAAAAACGAATAAGATAACAATGAAAAACCATTTCACAGGCTCTAACTGACAACCTGACCCCTATGCCTGGGAACATACTCATGTCTTCAAGGCATTGCAAAAGGCTGGCAGGGTCGGAACAGTCTAATATCTGGGGCAACAATGTTCCAGAGGGCAGGGACCAGAACATAAAGGCTCACTTCCTGGGTCCCACAAGATGGCACTCCTTAATTGATGAGACTCATAGCATGTCTCTTCTGCCAGATCTGACGGGATACGTAGAAATGGTTGGAGAAAGGCAATTCCACAAATACCATAATAAATACCCCATGCCATGAAGAGCTTTATAGTGGCCACTAGCTCCTTGAATTGCATCCAGAAGCATATTGGCAGCCAAAGCAGCTCATGGAGCAGAGGTGTAATGTGTGCATACTGAGGGGTGTTCATGACTGTCCACACCATTGCATTTTAAACCAGCTGCAGCTTCTGGATGCTTTTCAAAGGCAACCCCACGTAAAGCGCATTGCAGTATTTCACTTCGGAGTTGACTAAGGCAAGGGGGGGCAGAGCCTCTTGATCCAGGAAAGGGAGCAACTGCCACATAGCACAGCTGTGCAAAAGCTCTCCAGGCCAGTATTGAGAGAGAATAGTGGGATAACTCCTAGAAAGAAAGCAGAAGGCTGTTTAATTTTGCAGTGTTTCTGATTTTTTCCCGTGTTAGCTGTCTACTTTTCTTATTCCTTCTGTACAGAGACAAGGTGCTTCAGGATGACAGAATTCTCCTGTGTTTGGGACAGTATAAATTCAACAGTTTGCCTTACTGTTTTTTGACAGTATAAATTTTTAAAGGGCAAACAAAAGTCTACATTTGTACAGATATCTACAGTGTTTTCCCCTAATTATTGTATGTGACTGAAATATCCTTGTGTTTTCACATGCTAATCATTTCAGAACAGCTTTAATCCAAGATGGATGTCTGTTTTAGGGTTCCTAAAGCAGTAAAACGCATGCACTCTTTCATGAAAGCTGCTTGAGAAATTGTAAATAGAAAGGGAATAGGTTGGTTCTAAGTACAAAACGGCTTATGGTGAAATTCTTTTTGGAGGTTCAATTACTGAACCTCATGTACCCAGTTTTCAATGCTGTAGTTTATTCTTTGCATGCTAGCATTACTAAAATCCCCATTTATGTACATGGATATTCTCTGTGGTTAAAAAAATGCTTTTCATTGCAGGGCAAAGACAGCACTCCAGCAGTATCTTGCGTGATGAAAGAGAAGTTGAACTTTCATATAATTTTCAAAGCTATATACTAAGGAATAATGGGAAATAGCTGCACCTAATTTCCTTACCTTTTGCACAAGGCACCTTGGGCTGCATTTCTCTCAGGTGCAGGGAGCTGCTTGGCAGGAGCAGTTTAAGTGATCAGGTCTCCAATGCACTTGAGGACTTTATTGAGGTAGTTCCTCTATTCAAATATCTGTTCTGGGATATTTTTGTCTGAGCTACCTGAACTCTAATAGAACAATCAGTTGTCTTTTTTCCTTTGGGCCTACAATATTCTGCTTATACCACAGCTGATGTAAGGCTGTGTCTGGGTGGGTGTGATACCTCAGAGCTTTTTCTTTTTCTTTTTTTCTGTGTGTGTGCGCGTGTGTGTGTGTGTGATTTTTTTCTACAGATTTTCAAGGGTTAACCATTGTTTGCTGTATGAAAACTTTAAAAAATTATATACAATTTGAATTGAAATGTTATTTAAAAACAGTTTTGTCCCATGAAGTTTATTTTGATCAGATGAATGTTTTTAAGTAAAATATATGCATTTGTTCAACCTCAGCTTAATGTACCTGTACTTCCTCTTTTGAAACAAAAAGCTATTTACATAACAGGTAACACATGCAATGTGATTTATGCTAGCCTCTTACTGCCACATGTTACTTAGTGACAGCTCCTTGGATTTAAGAAAGCAACATTCAAAGATCCCAAAATTGAATATTCTTAAGTACACATAAATGATACCAAGATTGGAATTGTGGAAATTATACCTACTGGAATTATCCGGCAACAAAATTAGAGTTCCCCATGCGGGTACAAAGCTGCCTCAGAGAACTTACATTTGTTACAAAACTCTGTGTTACCTTTACATAACATGAAACCGTGACAGTGGATTGATGGAAGTAGAAGAATTGACTGCTGGTTGGAAGTACGCTCTTGGAAATATGGTAGGCATCCCCATCAAAAATCTGGATATAAATCAAACCTTAAATCTTTTTAAAAATACATTATTTACCAAACATACGTGGTGGAGGACTAAGTTATTCCTGCAGCAGAGAAGAACAATGTTAAGATGAGTTTTTTATATCATTTTGTAATCTCTGCCTCATGCCTTGTTGTTTATCAAGTAAGTTGTCTGTGGTCTTAAGCCCACAGGTATTTGTGTCAAGGGACAAGAGCGCCAGTCAGAAGTTGAGTGTCTCATTTCACTCACCAGTTTCAGTCATCCCAAACATTTATTTATAATAAATAAATATTCATGTGCCTAGACACATTGCATTATATCACAGCAACGTTTAGAGCTTGCGCCTCTGGCTGGAACTGTTAATGAGCTGGAGGGAGACTGCATAATAAAGCTAGAGTTTTTATATATGGTTTTCATGTTTTTTTTTACTGTACCCTGAAAGGCTAGTCATAGCAATTCAGGGAATGTAGTAGGTGATGTCATTTCTCAGTGTCATTGCTACAAGCTTGTTGGGTTTGGACTTCTGCAGGTGTGTATAATGTGCTCTCCTGCTAATTAATATTTTAGAAGTAAAGCCTTAATTAAGTCATTAATTGATTGTAGCCTTAATAATACTGAGAAAAATCACTTTCTTGTCAGCGTTATCCAAATCCATTCCCAGGAAGAAAGGGTAGGGAGGGCTTCCTTATCCTGACCACTGCTTTTGCACTCTGAATTATTATTATTACACATGCACTTCCAATACTGTTGTAATGCCTCCATTTACACATATGCATATCCATTTATTTTGAGATATAGATATGCGTAAAACTGTGTTGAATATAGCTGAAATGTGCAAATTTTCATCTTCACATTTGAAGGTTGCTTTTATAGAGTGGCCATGTATATGGAAGGAAGATATAAACTATGCTAAGACAATCTGGGTAATGGGGGTGGGCAAGGTGAGTTGGTGAAATATTAGGATGGTAAGTGATAATGAAGTGGCATTTTGCACTCAGTAAAGCATTGTGAATATTTTTTGATGTTGCTATAAATATGTACAAACACTGTAAATAAAAACAAATGACCTTTTACTGGAGAACATTATTTAAAATTGCTTGGCCCTATTTATATATATATTTTTAAATCTTCATACAAAGATTATATTGTAAGTTTGGATCTGTGCACAAACACCTACACCCTGTTAGGAAACTGAGTGTTCTAACAAAAATAAGGTTCATTTTCTAGATTTTTTCAAAATATAGTGATTGGATTTGTACCAACCCCCACCCCCTTCCATGAACTGTCAAAATTGGACAAGAATAATAACTTATTAAAATGTTTTCTCTAATTCTTTTGTTGAGAATTGCTCAGTATTGATGTAGTATGTGAGTGAATTTAAGTGCCTGAGCATTTACCTCTCATTTTCAGGGGTTGATTTAAAAAATTAATGTACATAAGGTAGATGTTCATCTTTATTCTGCACCAGCATTTGTTCCATGTTCATTGTACTCTTTCTGTTCTGTTTTCTATACTTTATCTAGTCCTTAACACTTACTTCATAATCACTTCCCTGTTGTTTTTGTCCTCTTTGTGAAATTGTAAATATAGTAATAAGCTGTAGTTCAGATAGGTAAATAAACAGATAATCAGTCAGCTGATTTATTTTGAAAAAGCTGGAGGTGGCCCCAAAATCTTCTAGTCCACCATCTACATACCAGTCCGTGCCATTATATTCAATGTCATTGGATTTGATTTGCCTCTTTCTAACTCCAGGACAACAAAAGCTAAGAGTTTTGTCCACAGCAGAGGTTGATATCTGGTTGGAGGAATGCTGTGAGAAATTGTCCAAGATGTCCTGGGCAAGAAGAAGAGCTGACTTGAGAATCATCTTCCTGTCTTCATTTGCAGGTCTAGAAGATGAATCCTGCTGTCTTTTCACAAGATGAAAAAATGTTCTTGGTCTCACTAGCACAAGTTCATTCCATTCAGTAGCCCTGTTCCAATTATTTTTGTTGCTGTTAAACAGATGTTGTATACTTGTTTTCTTTGGTGATTGAAAACAAGTCATGTTACAGAAATTAAAAAATTTAAAGCTATCAAGTTTAAGACTCAGAAATGGTAGAGGCCCAAAGGCAACATCAGAATGCCAGTTATAGCTGGGCTAAACAGTGATGGGGTTATTGTGCTTTGTGTTTTTACTCATAGCTTTCTTGATTACTTAAACTGAGAACAAACATATTGGACTCAAGGAGTACTAACGTGATGCAGCAGGGCCTTTCTTAATCAGTTCAGATGCTGGTATACCTGCTTCTGGCTAATTTTGAATACTTTAACAGTCATACGTAGCTATATGATGCAGCATAAGATTCTGTCTTTCTGGGACAGCAATATGAAATTACATTGTTGTAATATAATTTTAAGGTAACCATACATTGCTCATTATTAGGCTTTTAAATCCCTGTTAAATGGAAAAATATTACAGCTGTTCAGCCTTTTGTGTACAGTGGGAAAAGGGACCGTCAGGAATGTAAAACTCTTGATTTGCTCTTAATGAAACCAGCATTTAATTTCCTTAGGAGGATAAAGAAACACAAAGAAAAGATGCTTCAGAACATCTCCATTTCCCCTTCCTTGGGATTCAAGACATTTCAGGAATTTGGTCTTTGGCTATGCTTATGTAGGGTCAAGTTCACATCCCTCAGAAATATCTTGTAATGATAGCCTAGGAACAGAACCTAACTTGGATTAAGTTAGAGTCATCTTGATCTTGATATTTTCCAGCTGTAGTCAATTTAATTTTTGTATTTTATTTCTATATTATTTTGTGCTATTTAGTATTTCTGTACTGTTTTCTCAGGATGTGTCCTGTTTTAACCCCCATTTCTACATGTGTTCTACAGAATTTTCTAGGCAGAAACAACCCAAGTCATTTTTGTTCCAGATTTCAGTGGAATCAAAACTAGCAGGAAACCCAGAGTGGTTAGGACAATGCTGATAGATGTAATAATTTCCCTTTCTCTCCTTAGGTGTTCCCAGTATGACATAGCCCACCAGCTTTCCCATTCTAAAACTTCCTATTGCTTCCCTTTCCTGCGTCCCCTCAGCCACCACTAATGTCCTTGGTTTTTTCTGTTCTTCCCTCCCAAATATTTCTGCTTTGGACGGTTGGGTTTCGGTGGAACAAAAACAACCCTGTTTCATTCTGGCTCATGCATGCATGTTTCAGTTTGAGCACAAATCACCCCAAGATAGATATGTGCACAGAATGTGTCCAAATCATTTTTCACATTTCTTGTCTTTTTGAAGGATTCAGGAATCAAGCTGTTACTGCTTGTGGCATGTGCAGTTATTTTCTGGTGCCTGTCAGAAAATATAAGAACTGTAACAATTAACAGATGAAAGTATAGGTACTATGGAAATTGGTGTGTCTATCTTACCAATAAGACCCTGAAAAGTACTGCCAGTCTTTAGCCTTAATACGTGCATCTTTAAAGTAAGGTAAACTTCAGATTGAGGTTGATTCTTGATGATTTCATTTGTCCATGATTTTCTTGACAACAATATAGATGTTATTTGCCACGTAGCAACACTAGCCAACCTTGGTTAGCCTTAAAAGATGATATGCACAGTGGGGCCTTGCTAGTACCTGGAGACCACCCATAAAATTCCAGGATCTAGCTGTAGACAAGTTGGGAATTTGAAAAGAATATCCCAGAAGAAAGTATGACAAACTGCTTCCATATTATTGCAGAGAAAGCAATATGACCACAAACTTCTATTTTCTCATGGCTCATTAGCCCCACTAATTCTTCTCGAAGACTTTGTGTCAAGATGGAAAGTAAATACCTTAGCTGACCTGTGTCATTGCAACCTTTCTATCCACTCTGTTACCTCTAGGCCTAGAGAAAGTGAAAGCCAAGTTTCACCAAAGAGTTTTCAGTATTGCACGTCAGACAGACCTGAGTGCTACAGACAATCTACAGGAATGGGTTCCTTCCTGGAAACATTTTAGGCCTGTGAAAGCCCAGTTCAATCTGGCCTGCTCAGCACACTGCAGAGCCTTTTCTTTGGCTCATTTCAGTGTCTTAGCCTCAGCAGTATTGGACCTCAGATTTCATAAAATTTCATTCAATGAGAGAAATTGTCCTTGTGGTCAGAATGAACCTGAGACTATATTTTTTCATTGTCCCTTCTATGAAACTTACATGCTGGTGTGCCTGTAGTACCCCCAAAGAGATCAAGTTTTCAATGAGGGATAGGTAGCATATTTTTTACTCAGGCCAGAACTCTGCAATTACAAACAGAGTTGCCAAGTTTTTATCAGCAGCTATTGCCATAAGAAGGCTCAAGGTGCCTTAATCTTGGAATGATGTCACTAAGAGGTCTTTAATTCTCCTTTCTTAATGTCATGTTTATTTCATTTTGTTTTGTCTCGTGTTTTCTTCTGTTTTCTTGTAAATTGTAACTGGTAGGTCCATATGATGATTTACTTGCTCTTACTGTATTTGGGTGTACTTCTGTGTGCAGTTTTAATTTAGCTAATTTGCTGGTCAGTGATCATAAATAAAATTTCAATTTTGGACTTCTTGTGAGCACCATGGCAAGCTGATGTCCTGTTGGCTAGCGGGACACCATTTGCAAGGAAAATTGCAGCTGGATGCTGGATCCGGACCAGCAAAATCTCTCCGGAAGAAGGAGAGATCGTTGAGATTATCCATATGACTCCAGACAGCCGTTCCTCATAAGTAGACTGCAGAAACTACCATTTTGCAGTCAGCTTATGAGTGGAGTGTCTGGGAGTCGGGATTCCATCAAACCCACACTAGCAAAACAGCCTTTATGGACATTGAGCTTGACTGAACTGCGTTTCTTAATCACTTTTAGGATTTTTTTTTTAAACTTTCCTGGAGAGATTAAGACCTTTCAGACCGGCAAGGTTTTACTGTATTCATCAGGTGATTTTCCTCCTCCTCAAAGGACAATGGTGTAAGTTTGATTTTAAATGTTTTGAAAATATATGAATTTTTTGGACTATGCAGCAAAAGGGTGCTTAGTATATGGATTGTGGAAAGTTAATAATGGATTAAGAGGCCAGAGGGATCTGGAATTATAGTTTTGAGTTCATTAGAAGACATTTTCTTGTGGGAAAATGGTGATTGCTTTGGCTCTTTTAAGATGAGATCTTGAAGGTTGGACACTAGAGGGAGCTAGTGGATAAAGAAAATGGAGCAGAAATCTATAGTACACACTTTTGAATATTTTTCTACCAAGTTTCTTGATAACATGGATAAACTTCTTGACAAAATGGACAGAGCATGCTGTAATGAAGTTACAGAACAAAAACAAGTCGCAATGGATGGATGTTTATTTATTTATTTAATTTATATGCTGCCCATCTCCCCCAGAGGGTGGGTGGATATGAAATTACTTTGGAGGGGGATTTAAATGTAATACATTTAAACTGATGGATGACTTATTCCCTAAAGAAAATGTACAGATATTGAATCAGAAGACTGACCTGGATAATTTTTTTTTACTGGATATACAAAAAAGCTCTGTTATGGTTTTGAAGGACTTTATTAGAAGTGACAAGCTAAAGGACAAACCTTACTTACTGAATATACAAAAGAAAACTCTTAAAGTTGTGAAAGATTTTTGCCTTGAAACACAGATGAACAGCAAATCAGCTCTGGGACTCTTTTTGAAGGGGTTAAAGAATATTTTTAAAAACTCAGGGAAGGAATACAGGATTGGCTTATTTGACCAGGGCTGAAAGAGGAAAATAGTTATATCTGGTTGCCCTTACTGGACTTTTGCTGACAAAGAATGATTGATGAAGCGTGTTTTGTTTTGTTTTGTTTTGTTTTGTTTGAAAGATGAGCTATGGGGAAAACAGACATGTTGTGTTTCGAGATGGTGATAAGCTATTAAAATTGTCTTTACTTGCTGGGATGAAGGGGGACGTTACTTCTTTTTTCTTTTTCACACATTTTTTTTCTTTTTTATTCTGTTTGTATTTTTTGTAGTCTGGCTTCTTTTCAATTATAATTCTTAATAAAATTATTTGAAAAAAATAAAATTTCAATTTAAATATGAACATGTAGTCACCAGGATTTCAAGGGAAACTGTGTGCCTCTATTCCTTCAAGGGTTTTCAGACTTTTTAAAAAAATGTAAATGTATAAGTTAGTGCTGGACCGTAATAAAACCACATGTTTTGATACTGAGAAATTTCATTGTTTCTTTGGCAGCATTCTATTGTGGCTTATATGGAATGTTATCTAACGGTAGTAAGTTTGGTGGGTGCTGTTTATTGTTTGTTGTAATTCTTCACCCCCAAGTTCATTTACTTTTGAATATTCAGATATCTCTCTTCTCAGTAATTTTTTTTAAAAAATATGACAAATGCCATATAGTTGTTTAGAAACTGTTCTCTCATTGCAAGATTTCTAGTGGTAAGGGGTGATGTGGGGAATGAACTACTGAGTGATTCAAACTTAATTTGCTTTATGAATAACCAAAAAGTGTGTCTTGCTGGGCATCTTTCCTGTTTATTACTGTTACTCACACTGGTGGGCTTTACATGCTGTATAACTAGCTGAAAGATGTGTATTTCAGTATTTTATGTCCAATAGTATCTAGGCAGTGAAGAGTTTACTCAAGCGTTTAGAAGAGTGAGTATCACAACCAGAAGCAGGAAACTATATTAGGAAAGAAAAAAAATTGTATAGATTTCCACACCTGCATGCTATCCAAAGTATATATGATGTATGCATAAACTATTTTGGGCAAGACAATACACATTCAGTGAAGAAATACAAAAGGAATGACAGCAAGCCAAATCCCTATTTAGTAACTTGCATATAATTCTATTACATTAGTGAGTACAAAGTAATATGAAATGAAAACAGATTTTATCCTTGTGTAAAATGTAAGCTGTAGCTACATATGTATTTTTGAATTATGCAATTAAGAAACGTGTGCAGAAAGCCCCCCCCCCCGGGTATCTTGATTCATTGACTGCTCCCTTGCCGAGTGAACTGTAGATTTCAGTTGATTATCTGCTTCTGCACAAAGCAGATTGAAGTATGAAGTGAAAGGGAAGAACTCAAAGCTTGTTCTTGAGACAGTGCTGGAGGGCATCTCCCATGGCGTGGAGCACTCTGTCAACATTGGATTTAGTGGAGTTGTAGCCCATCAGTCCTATGCGAAGAACCTGATGATAAAAACCTTTAAATAAGTGTTTGTGACTGCTTGGAAAGCTCCAGCCAACTCTTCCCTTCATTTTACCTGTGCACTGGAATGACCATATTTATTTATAATCCTTTTATACATAATAATTTCTCATCAAGTACTGAACTCAGGTACTAATGTGCTGTTTCATATGGACTAAAGATTATTAGATAATTTATTCCTCTTTGAGATTCCTTTACTTCACAGAGAAATGGTTGCAGGTATCATGCTTGAAGGTTTCTTACTATTTTCAGAGAAAACCTGCACATTAGAGAGATGGCTATATACTAAAGAACATGTCAGTTTTTCATAGACAAGATGAACTTACAGCCTTTATCCTACCATGAATGTTAACTCTTTGGGCTGTATAATTAACAGCTCAATCTGTGTAATTCAACATTTATAAAGCATTCTTGGTGCATCAGAAACCAGGCAGTCATATCTACAAAGGAGTATCCGTTTTACTATTTTTCCCCCATGAGCCTGTATTTACCTTGCCTGCTGAAGCACCCAGGCCTCCAGAGACTTCAATCTGATGATTTTTCATAATATATTCAGTTATTTCCTTACAGTCATACCCCTCAGGCACATAGATAGTGTTGACTGTTGGAAGTCTTGCATCCTTAGAAAAGAGGAACCGCAAAACAGCCATTCAGGTGGTTTGGATATTTGAATAGCATTTTATCTCCAGGATTTAAAAAAAATTGCATAAATAGTATTAAAAGGAAATTCATTCTTTAGCTCTGTGCATGTGTGTCTCTTGCACACTCATTATTTTGTGAAGCCTTTTAGCAAAGTTAACCAATTATCTATTTATTAATGAAAGGCTAAATTCAGAATAGTTTAGAAAAGAATAGCATGCATATGTTCATACTACTGTTTTGGATCAGGTTTTGCAACCATACAAAAAATTATTTTCAAGATTTGAAAGTGGAATTAATGTTCATACCTCCAGTATGATCTCTCTCTGTCTCTGGCTTGAAGCCTGGAAAGACTTAGTTTTCTCTAGTCTATGTAAACCAGTGTTGGCAGAAACAGTATTCTAGGCATGGATTTAATTCTGATTCCCATTTTGGGTTTTGTCTTTGTGGCAATCAATTTAATTCCTACTTTGCCCAGTTATGCAACTCTACCCAAAGCAGTCTTCCCCATATAAAACTTGATAATAATGAATAATTAGCTTGACCCATATTCTACATTCATGATTAATTTCATTCTTACCGGTTCTTTCACAAAGAGTTTGAGACCTAACTTCTGAAGTCCTGCACAGAGATAGAGGCTATTTTCCTTATGAAGCTTCCAGGAATTCTCTAGTCCCTGTGTAGAAAATGAAAATATTTATTTTCCTATATAAAAAAAATAGTTTTTTTTAAACTGCAAGTATATGTATGCTGTGTATTTTATTGTCCAGTTAAACTTCCAACTATTTATTTTTCAAATTTAGATACCGCCCATCTCACAAAAAGTGACTCTGGGCGGTTCACAATAAAACAGCAATAAATATTAAAATACAATAAAACAATATAAATTATATTGTTTTATTGTATTTTAATATTTATTGCTGTTTTATTGTGAACCGCCCAGTTATATTGTTTTATTGTATTTTAATATTTATTGCTGTTTTATTGTGAACCGCCCAGAATAAAAACCAAACACATACACAAATAATATCTTCCAAGATGTTGATGGTCAGTAAGATGTTAACATGGGAGTGTCTTCAAGGTGCTAACCACCCCCAGGGTTGGTTGCCCTTTTTTCACTCCATGCCAGTTGGCAGAGCCAGGTCTTGACTGCTTTCTGGAAGGACAAGAGAGTTGGGGTGTGCCTCACCTCTGGGAGGACAGTATTCCATAGGGTGGGGGCCACGGCAGAGAAGGTTCTCTTTCTGGACCCTGCCAGTCAACATTCTTTCATCAACGGGATCTGCAGCATACCCTCCCTGCCTGCCAGGTGGGACGGGCAGATATAATGGGGGTGATACGGTCCCTCAGGTAACCCGGTCCCATGCCATGTAGGGCTTTAAAGGTGATAACCAACATCTTGAATTGGACCCGGAAGCAAACTGGGACCCAATGCAGCTCACATAGTAATGGTGAAATGTGCCATCCTTGGGGCACCTAAAATTGCCCACGCAGCTGCATTTTGAACCAGCTGAAGCTTCTGGATACTTCTCAAGGGTAGCCCCATGTACAGCGCATTGCAATAGTCTATACAGGAGATGACTAGGGCCTGAGTGACTGACTGAAGGGACTCCCGATCGCATTGCAATAGTCTATACAGGAGATGACTAGGGCCTGAGTGACTGACTGAAGGGACTCCCGATCGCATTGCAATAGTCTATACAGGAGATGACTAGGGCCTGAGTGACTGACTGAAGGGACTCCCGATCCAGAAAATGATGTGATGGGCATAATTTTGCCTGGATTGTCTGCCAGCAATTGCTTCTTGTGAGTTCTTGTGTCATAGCCACCTGGTCTTCTGTTGGCTCTCATTCAATTGCCTTAAATTTTTCCCAAGCATCAGGACTTTGCCTTCATGATGCTTTCTTTTGCATATGTCCAGATTATTTAAGCTTCAACTGTATTACTGGTGCTTCCAATGAACAGTCTTGTTTTGCTTCATCCAGTATTGAATGAAGAATATTTTGTCTGCAACACTGGAATTCAAAGTCATCCATTTTCTTTGACAATCATATGTCATGATGGGGAAAACCATGGCCTTGCCAAAACAGTTGTATGCAAAAATGTAAGCACCTCTGGTCAAA